CTCAACTGAACACCAACTGAGTGGTTCCTGAAAACCAACGAGCTGCAGCTCCAGGTTCACTCCATGCATTTTTCTGCCATTAGTGAGAAAGTGCTGCGTGTGTAACCTGAGCAGAAGAATCTGGCGGTAAAAAACACTAAATCCACAACACACACACACACACACACACACACACAGAAAAATACAGTATAGACAGGCACAGCTGCCCTGGTGTGTTTGCAAGTAGGTGGATGAGGGTGTGTGCGTGAAAGAGACTGGGTTATTTGAGATTGTTTTTAGGCACTTTGCAATCACAGACACTCTTTTCCTTGTGTGCGTGTATGTGTGTGTGTGTGTGTGTGTGTGTGCGCGTGTGTGAGTGAGTGAGTCATACCAATTAGGCTGCAAACCTTGGCCACCTCTACATCCTCTCCAGACAAGGCACCAGATATCTCAATTAAAAAAACGACGTAATTTGAGAACACAAAAACAGAGGAGGCATCAGGATGGAGGAACTGAGGGATAGAGAGATGATGTTGGTCTGCAACCTAATCTGATGTGTTAGTTTTTGGCCAGAAGACAGCTGCAGTCTCACACACGCAATACAGTTAAATGGAGACGGAATAAACCTGAATGAAGAAACGTGGTTGGCTTTCAAAGAACTGGATCCTCGTTGAATTTGTCTACATGCAACATCACATTCAATTGTCATATAGACTGAGCTGTAAGACGTCAGTATGTCAGTCTGTATTAAGTCATAATACATTTTTGTTTAGTTTAGCAGCGGTAGAGGGCTAATTCTGACAGCAAACCGCAGAGCTTCATTTGAGAAAATGTAGAACTGAATCATTTTTCTAAAACAACACTCTTTCAAGTCCCGTTTTGTTTATTTCCCATTTGTCACGTTTCATCTTGCGTCTCCATTTTTCTTATTTCAACTTTCATTATGTATCTGCCGCTTGATGAACATAAATCACGTACAAGCTCATTTATTTAAACACGTTTAAACACGTCTATGTTTTATATCTTTCTCTGCCTCTCTTTCCTCTTTGTTCGCCAATTACGACCAGATGTCAGCTGCTATGTCTGAGCTGTAAAAATCACCACAAATCACTACACCAGTTACTTATGAATGGACCTGCATGCACATGCAAACACACTCTTAGACAAAAAGGGTGTTGATGATTATAAAACTGCATTTTCACATTCATGGGCACTAAAAACACACTGTAACACACCCACACACACGACTCCAAACCGCTTCCTTCCTTCCTTCTTACGCACGGCTTCTCAACTCTGCTCCAGACACGCTCCCATTGTCATCACATCTGGTTTGAACTATAAATCTTTTATCATTCACTCTTCTGGGAGGAGGCAAACAATTACAGAATTTCATACAAAGACAGCAAAAAGCATTAAGAAAGAGAGTGGGAGGAAGAAATGAGAGCCCTCCTGACATTAGGTTTTTGAAGGACATTGAGGTTTGCTGAGCAGAAAAAAGATCTTTCTCAATTTCACTTTACTGGTGGTCCCATAAATCTGCGCACACCAACGCATACATACACACATGCACAACCCCTCAGATAAACAAGCACAAATACACACACACACACACACACTATTTACTCATGCAAACATTTGCCAACCTACACACAATAAAAGAACAAACACTCCAAGGAATCTTCTAATTTACCCCGCCAACAAAAGCCTGCCTTCACAAAACGCCTCTCCATCACTTCCAGCCACATGCTATTACGTCCGGGAAAAATGGGAAACTGTGAAAATATTGATACAAATTAAGACGTGGTTGGGGAAAAATGAGTCGGCCAACTGAGGAAGGAGGAATGAGGGCTGAGATTGAGTGCTAATGGGAAAAAGGTGTTAAAGATACTAGAAATTGCAAGGGAATAAAGATAAGATGCAGGTGTGGGCTCATTACTGTGAAACGGAGCGCAGTCATAGAAGAATTACCACAGGACCACACAGAAGAGGAGATGAAAGCAGAGAGAAGGAGGAGAGATGAGAGGAAGCGAGGAGGCAAAGCAAAACAGCTGAGAGAAAAACACTTAACTGAGAAACAAAAAACAAAGCTAAAGTATAAAAAACTCCTAATTATCATCTAGTTTTAAACTGATGAACACAGGCCACCACTTAGGCGGAAGACAGCTGCATCCATGCATCCATGTATTCCCCTCATGCTTTGAACATCATTGCCTATGCAGATTGTTCCAGCTATGAAAACACAGTTTTCCACGCTAACTGCCTCTCTGAGGAGATGCTGTGGCATGATTCCTGGCTTGAATTACAGGGAGGGATCATCTCTGAAGGTTAACCTGGTGGAACACACTGGTGGGCACCATTTGCATAATCTACAAATGTAGTGATGTAGCCTCTAAAGCTTGTAGAGCACGTGAACTTTTTTTTTTGGTGACAATTTTCTTGATCCTGGTTTGCTTGGGATATGATGATATTGTGATTAAAGTTTGGTTACCTTGTCTGTGAAATGTGTGTAGAATTTGTGCCAGTCCATGTCAACATCAAAGCTCTGGTTTTCTAATATTTTAAGTGAACCAATGAACACTTTAGAGTTCTTTATCAAAAGTACACTGACTTTCAAGTTCACTTTTGATCTTGGAATCAGCAGATGACAACAATGGCTGATACCGATACAATGACGGATATTTTTGTGTTTTTCATGCAGTTGAGAACTTGCAGTTTATTCAAACCTGCTAAGAAAGGCTAAGATTTGCGAGCAAAGATGGATGATTTAATATTCTATAGTTCTGATCTAACCAAACCATCATTGTTAACAACAACAAAAAATAACAGTTCTGACTCTTCAAATGCTCATTTACTTTTTCTAGAAAAGTACATAAAAAAACTTTACAAACATACTTTGGCTTTTGTAGAACATAAAACCTATCAAATGTTTTGAATATGATATCAAAATAAATTAGTGTTATTATGGACTGATTTATTGGCTATAATTTTATTATCTGAATAATAGAACAGAATACTATAAATTTCCCATTATCTAATGATAATTTATCAACCCCAACAATTATGGTGCATCCCTCTATTAAATTTACATTTAAATCGATACAAATAGTAATAGCCTTTTGTCAAAGAAGAAGTCACATGTTTTCATTCAAAGTACTGAATCTCGGTGCTCAATGGGACTAACTTAAATGACAAATGTGTGTGTGTGTGTGTGTGAATATGTGAAAGGGACAGTGAATGAGGGAGGGAGAGAAGGAGAGAGAAAGAGCAAGGCAGCAGCTGTCCGCCTGGATGACCTCAGCGGCAGCTGCTGCCCCCCACTTCCACCCCGCCCCGCTCTGCTGCCCTCTGTATGCCAGCTCGCCTTTGAAGTTAGGTCAAGACCGATACATCTTTGGATCACATACCGATAATCATTACTGAGATTATTAGCTTTTTTTTATCCTACAATACAAATGTATTCGTTACTCAAAAATTAAATGCAAACTTGACAACAGAAAATGTGATTTATGGATTAAACAGTGGTAAAATCTGCTGTTTTATTAATGAATAGTTAACGTGACAATATCTAAGAATATTCTAGATAAAGCTGCATCTATGAGAAGAAAAGCAACTCTTTTATTACTCTTGTGTGTTTGTTAATTGTCTCATGTCACAAAAAGAAGATTTAAAAAAAAATCTTCAGTTTTATAAACAGACAGTGCAATGCACAACTTTATCTATATCTTTATCTACTTGTAAGATTCCCACTTTGGTACAACCATCTTCTCAGACTATTGGCCGAGGCACAATATTGAATTCAAATTCATTCATTAATACACTGTAAACATGTATCATGTACAATCTTGTTATTGGCTGGTATTATCTGTATCAGAGCATTTTACTCCAGCCTGTCTTTGAAGTGCTGACGTTGGGCAGAGAGAGATGCTTTAGTCAGATTCTCTGGATCGCTGGAACCTGACACACACACATACACACACGCATACAGAATGGCATGTAGACAAACACATGGATAATGCACACACACACAGCACAAAGACACACACGGACTTGCGTGTGTAAATGTGCACTGACACACTGTCTTCCCTCCAGATATTTTGTTTACATGGATAGGAGTTGAGGGAAGTGGCCATTTCAGTCCGAGTACAGAAAGAAACACATCTGTATTTGAGCAGCAAGGTCGTCAGAGTCCACAGTGTCATCGACTACAGCCACCACATGATGAGACAAACAAAATATACATACCCAGACACAGTGACAACCGACTCTGCTTTCTGAATGGAAAGTTATTATGTAAAGGAAAAAAAGAACAAGGCACAACAATGTCTCTTTTATAGAGACATCAAAACTGACACACACACACACACACACACACACAGATGTGACATTCCAGACCACACTGACGCAATGTCTTTCACACAAACACAACCGGGGGAAAAACAAAAGCATCTTCCTCAACAAACTCATTCATAATCATACACACAAACACACACACACCTACACACGCACAAGCAGAAGCAGTGAGACAAAAGCATCGCTTCATTGTCTGAAAAACTGTACAGGCTTGATTTCTGTGTAAGGCCCCACCAACCTAACCTGGTTAATTATATCCTCGAAACTCACACAGCAGTCAATAGAAGTACTGAAATGAATGGTAAGGAAAGAAAAAGAAATACTGAAAATCATCATGTGTGATCATCAAGTGTAATGAAGGAGAGAAATAGACCAAATGTAAACTTGAATTAATGGGAAAACGTAAGAGAGGATTAGAGAAATAAGAAAGCTAAAATCTTGGGCTTTAGTCATGGATGGTGGGTTTGTATCTGTCTGTCATCATACAAACACACACATAAACACAAAAAGTCAAATACTTTTCAACAAAAGTCTTACGTAGTAAGTGTAGCGAGTGTAAGCGAGTTTGTTTGAAAAATGTTGCAATGGTGCAATGTATTCATGTTTTGTCAATGTAATGCAAAGGACTGTATCAGTGTCTCATGCCACAGTTGATAAAAAACACTTACCTATAACGATGAGAGTGTAGTTGATGTTCACGCTGCCAAACCCGTTGGTAGCTTTACAGATGTAAGTCCCTGCATCGTCAGTCTCCACATCTTTAATACGCAGAGCGTGCTGTAACACCCTGAACCGTGTCCAGCCACTGTGGATGTTTCGGCCATCTTTGGTCCACATGTTGAGCGGTGGGGGGTCGCCCTCCACGGGGCAGGGCAGCTTCATGGTGCGACCCAGGCGGATGCTCTGCCGATGAGCCACCCGCTCTGACACCCTGGGTGGACCTTAAGGGTGGGGGAAAAGGGAAAAGGAGAGTCAGTGAGATTATGAATGAAACACTAGTTGTAGTTTAATTTAAGTAGTTTAATCCTCCTGCAATTTCCCAGCTTGGGATCAATAAAGTATATCGATAAAGTATATCTATCTAAGATATCAGAATACTGCAGAGAGGGTACACAGCCAGGTTACTTGAGCGTATATGAACCTACTAATGAAACCTTTCACTTTAGCTTACAGCTCGCATTTTTAAGTTTCCAGCTGCAGCAAAATCCAGTTTGAATTGGGTAGAAGGGAATCACTGAGTGGTAGCGACTGTAGCCTAATTAGTGTCCGCAATGTTTGATTGCACAAACCAATCTTTCCCTTAATACATGATTCTGACCCATTCTGCCAGACATACAATATTTTCCTTGCAAGGACTATGATCCATTGAGGCATCAAAAACTTTGTTCATCAAAAATAAACTCCCCACCCAACGCCTGATTTGATTTGTGGATTTTTAGCACAGAGCCTTGTTTGGTCTGAATCAGCCCTGAGTACAGGGACTTCAGGTGAGTTACCTCGGTGCCCGCATTTTTCACTATTTTGGCATGAAAAATGACTGCAATGATTCATCAATTAGTTGATGACTATTTTTCTGTCGACTAATTGATTAATCAACTGCTCATTTCAGCTCTCAAGTTATATTTAAGATGTTCAATGTTCATAGTTATCATTGACATTGTATTTTAGGACAATGTATGAGTGGTTGCATCAACAGCAGTAGTCGTGTTGAGGGATGGAGGCATTTTGAGAGCGGTAAGTGTGTCGACACCAAGCTTAGGATGATGTCTTGTAATGCCTGCTCTCCTGACACACCCACATCTCCTTGTGTGCAACAACACACCTCCCATTTTCACCGCTATTCTCAGAACCAAAGAAGCCTCCAAATATGGCTTTTAAAACACAGGAGTGATCCTTTAACCTTTAAGAAGTCTGCAATGGCTTAGCTGAAACATTGACATTTGAACACTGGCAACAATAGAATCCCCAGGGAGCAAACACAAAGCCAAGCTAATATCAACTGAGATGTCGTGTCGAGACATAAAATCAGGCGTGACCTTGACCGCTCAGTAGCCGGTCTACTGTGAAACTGCACACTAGAAAAACAGAGGGGGTGAAGTGACACGCTGACTGACTGGGAACGACGGGAGGAAATGAGAGCAATAGCGTAGGGGGTGATGGAGAGAACAAATTTAGGGGTGAGGAGGAGAAAGAGAGGAAGGAGAAGGAAGGAAGGAAGGAAATGAAGGGAATGAGGGAGGATGGAATTTAAGGGAGTAGCTGTGAGAAGAGAAAGGGAATGAAATATGGCCGAACAGGAGTAGTACAAAGAAAGACAAACAGGAAGATAGAAGGATGGAAGCAGTGTAGGAGTTAGCGAGGTTTACTGCATACTGCACATCTCTGTTTGGCTTCTCATTAATCCTTCTGGGTTAAAACAATACCCTCCTAATATAGTACTAAAACACAGGCCACCATGTAGCAAACAAAGGGTCCTAACAGACTACAAAAGGCAACTGTATGGAAAACCATCAGAAAACAACCTGCTTCAGGTCATGACCTGTAGTTTAAGAAAGATTTAAAGGACAAAGGGTGGCTTGATTTTAACAATGTGCCTGATAGAGGCTTATCTAGAAGAATACGTATGGTCCGATAAAGAGTAGAATCATGTGTAAACATATGTTTCATTTATTGCCCCTTTTGTCTGTTACTTTCTTATCACAGAGAATGAACACAGCCTGATATTGTGTATGGAGACCTTCCATTTGCCCTTGTGAATGAAGGGTTTAATAAACAGCTGTAGACCTCTGGTATTTTGTTGTTTTTCGTCAGCTTTTGGCAGTTTGTCCGTAAGGATAAATACAGCTTGTTAAAACTTTTTTTAAAACTCTTTTCATACAGTAGTATTGGAGATCTTTCTATAGGTTATAACATTTTACCAAGTAATCGTTGAGTTGTGGAAACATGGATCGAAAACTACAAAGACATCAGACCGGACAGGATACAAGTGGTCAGATGATGGGTTAAATTGTGATAAAGACAGTTTGGCTAGATGATTGAAAATACTTAATTTGGAGGCGAAACCAAAAAATGTCAGAAATAATCCCTCAATGCACAGAACACTGTGTGCACCGATGAACAATTTGTGTGCGCACAACTACAGCAAGCACAGGAGGTCAAAGCTTAACCAGGAAGTTGGCCTGTAAATGTGATGGATGTTTTTACAACGGACAGTTTAGGTGATAATTTTACTTATTAAGTAACCTATGGACTGCATTTTAATTTTGTCTTTACTTTTTCTTTCCCATAAGTTTGATTTATTTACAACGTTGTGTGCTTTTTAGCGATACCACTGTTCCCAGATCACAGCAACTTGGTCTTTTTCAAAAGTTATTACATATATATACACACACACACACACACACACACACACCAGGGTTATTCTTTAACATTTGCCGTTTTAAGTACAAGTGAAAGATTTCCTTTCCCATTAAAAAACCTCTGCAGCACACAGATGGCATTTACCTATGAGTATTTATTTTTTTGCATTTCTTCGGAAGATCAAGGTAGTTAGCGTGAGCAGTAACCACCATGGCTTTGCAACCAAGACTTTACATCATTGGCAAGCAAAGACCAGCTGTCAACTGTCACCAAAATAAAACAAAACAACTTGATTTATTCCTCCAGTGTGCAGCTGCAGAGGTAGGGGATGAATAAGGTGAAGTCGAGTGGTGTATACATGAAGTGGACTGTAAAAAAGAAGAACAGTTACAGTAGTCTTCTAGTTTTGTCAGTCATGACGGGCTGTTGTTTTAACAGGAGAGGAGGAGGTGGACACAATGATGGATGTGTGAAGGTGAAATGTGTGAAAAAGACATTAGTCACACAGAGGTATTCTCGGGGAGCCTCTCCTCCTCTGTCCTCCCTCATTCCATCCTCCTCGCTCCTGCACGGGGGAATGTGTTCGTTCAGCTGTATGGCTTTCTCATCAGGGGCCCGACAGCTCACTCTCTCTTCTTTTCTCTCTCTCTACCTCTATTTCTTTCACTTTTGTCATTCTCTTTTTTACAAATATCTCCCTCTAAAATCAAATGTTCTTACTTTAACACCTGTTTCTTTCTTTCAGTTGTCCTACCTTCATTCTCTTTTCTACATTTTACTTCCCTTCTGTATATAAACTGGATCCCTTTAATGTTCTTATTTTTTCTTTCTCTATATCTATTTCTTCCTTTTCTTTCTCCAGCAGATTGAAATCTCATTCCCCTGAACTCTTACCATTCCCCTGCTACCTTGCCCTTAACCCCTCGCTTCCCCTTTATACCTCCTCCTGTCCTCTCTTTTCCCCCGTCATAACTCTTTTCCTTTCTCTATTTTACTCTCTTACTCCCCGCTCTCTCTTTTCTCTTTCATCATGCTCATTCACACCATCCTCTTCGTTCAATGAAGTATCTCTTCTGTCTCTCCTGGGTGATTTACTGGTCTCCTGCCCTTTTCAGATCTATACAAACACACACAACTTCCCCAGTTCCTTCCCCAGAGGATCACAGGAGCAGGACCTCTACCTGAACCTCTCAACTTTCGACAGTTAACCTCTCCTACATCTCTACCCGATAAAGGGAACACACACCAGCAGCCTCTTTTCCTTCCCCTCCTCAGTGGTCCTCCTCCTCTTTCTCCTCCTCCACGGACCATGACCAAAGTGAAGTCTTTTTAAATCTGTCTCTAGGGGTGAAACTGAAGCGAGTAAAAAATCTATTCTTCTCTTTCACGAGACACAGGGTCAGTGTGTGTGTTCGCACATGTGAGTCATCTTTGATAAAATGTGTTGTTTAAAGGAAAGAAAGGGCTACAAATATTGTATATGGTCAAATAAGGCTAATTACAGTCTGTGTCTCTGTGCTTGTGCATCTTTGTGTGTTTATATACTGTTTAGGAAACCTGTGTCTGTGTTTTAGTGTGTGAATGTGTGTCTGTGGGGGGGGGAGAGAAAAGAAAATTGCAGGCCTTTAAAACTTTGGTCTGTTTTGTCCATTTGGGGCAGGCAGGGTGCTCCCTTGCCTGCAACTGGCTCCCCACAACAATCTAAAGCACCTTGAAGGTTGTTTATCTGCCTCCAGACACTCACAAACACACACACACACACACCGTGCACACCCTCCCTCTCGTTTCCCTTCTACACAGGGAGAGTATAGGTAGTTTGGACGTGCACGTCTGGTATTCTGGCTAATGACAGGAAAACACAGCCCACGTCAGACACAAAGTACTCCCACAGAGGCAGAACCTTGCACCTCAGAGCTGCACATCCTCTGCATGGAGGGTGGCTGAAGGCCAAATAAAGCAGAGGAGAGATCAGTTTATACAGTCTGTTGACTGGTTACTCACAAAACAACTGTAAATACACTGCTTGAGTTCCATTAATGGAATAGGATGACAGTTGGGGAAATTGTCTGTTCAATATATAGCTCGAACCACAAGACAGTTAGCTTAGCTTTGCATAGAGACGGCTGGCCCGACTGTCCAAATGTGACAAAATCTAGACAAATTTACTAATGTGTTTCATTTATTCTGTATGTAAACAGGAAATATAATGTGGCCATTGAGTCAGTTATTTAGCTTTAGGCTACAACATGAGCCATGTAGGTTGTCATTTACATTCCAGCTTATATTATTCTATTATTAGAGTCTTTATTGATCATTTCTTAGCAGAGATATCCCTCTGAAGTGTAAGACACACAGTATCTAAAAATATGTGTATCTTGTATGTGTGTTAGGATTAGTTACTCTAAAAACGTCTAGTCCAATCTAGCCCCAACAAATCCAGTTTGTCCACTGTGGTCTGCTACAGTCTAGTCATGATAACACTGGATTAGGTTTCTTAGATTTGTCTCATCTAGGATAGTCTATAGACATCAATTCTGATACTAGTCATCACACTCAAGTGCAGATAGGCTGTTTTTCTTGC